TTCATTCAGTAATATCTGGTACTGAATCTTCAATCCCTACTATAACTGTCGAATTGCTTAGAAGAAGGCCATTTATTGTATTGCCTAAAATATTGGTATCTGAAGTTACATAAATATCAATACCAAAAGTTGAATTGCTATCTGAAACTCAAATCAAAGAGGAATTGAAAAAGGTAGAATTAAATTATTGCTAAATTATTAAAATTTACCTTTATTAAACAAACAATTTATTTAAAAAATAAAGAATTATATGCATAGGTCAAAATACTAGAAAGAAAAAATATTGAATTTATAAAACAATTAGACCTAATAAAATATATTAACAACAAGTTTTCCAAAAAATCAGAACAGTAAAAAAAATGAAATAAAAGATTTAAAAAAGTAAATTAATCAGCTCAAATCTATAGAACCTAAACTAGATTCTATAGATGTTGTAAAATCTAGAGTAGCTGATATATCAGAATTTGAAATTTTGCTAAGTTTAGGAAAACATCGAAGAATTCAACCTAGGAGAAGTAGTAGAGGCAAACTGGTAAAACTGGTTATCAAAGATGAGCCAAAACTAAAAAAAGTGAGAGCAGAAATAAAGGTCTTAAAGAAAACCATTCCTGATGAATATAAACCAAGAATAGACAAAGTTTTTTCAAGTGATGTAAATAAAAAAATATTACAAAAATTGATATTTGAATTAATAAAATTCATGGCCCCACATTTTAATTCCTCATAAAAGCAAATAAATAAATGGTTAGATGCTTTACATCACCATCAGAAAAGAAGATATTAGAAAGCAAAAACTGAAAAACTGGAAGTAAACAATCATCACTTACATGCAAATAGCCAGTTAAATGAAGTAAGATTAATAATATTCTGCCTTTATACTACTTTTAAGTATGAATAATTAAGAAAAGAGCACGAAGAATTAAAAGCGTACAGTCACTTATTGAATGAAGGTCAAAGAAAGTTGTCAAATATCAGAATAAATTAACTGATATAATTAAAAAAAACAAAGGTACATTCACCTGAAGAAAGTGACATTGATTCAGGAAATCCCACTAAAAAAAGAATAATTGTATATAATTACAGTTGATATTCTGAAGAGATATTTTTCAGCAAAATATTAATATGCCAAATAATTACAATATTAAGCATAATTACTTCTTATAATTAAAGGATTTATTGATATATTTGGATGAACATTTGAAATCAATTTAAGCATTCCAGCTGACTTGTAAATAATATTGTGATGATTCATATTTCTATGATGTGATGCCACCAGAAGGCTTGTCAAATTGGACATACAGTTTGAAAGAAATTTCAGAATATGAATAAAAAAAAAGTCAGGAAAAGAAAAAAAATCGACAGTTAAATTTAAAAGACGAAAAATTACTGAATATGAGGAATTATTAATGTATTCAAAGAGTAAGAAACAAATTGAAGAAAGTGCACAAATGGATAAAATTCGGGAGCAATTAAATTAGAAGAAAAAAGCGAAAAATTGAAAAAATATTTGGCAAGGTAAAACCAATTGGAACTAGTTTTAAAAGAGTCAAGCTGAAATCTTTAAAGAGAAAAGAAAAGCAAATAGAAAAGGAGAAAGAGGAAGAGGAAAATAATGAAAAATTTAGTTAATTGAATTTATAATTTTTTAATAAATTTCGTGAAATTTGAATTTTTTGTCATAGTAATTTTTTTGCTAAATTTTTTTTCTACAGTAATTTTTTTGCCAAATTTTTTGCTGCAATAATTTTTTTGTCAAATTTTTTGCTACAGTATTAATTTTTTTACCAAATTTTTTGTTACAGTATCAATTTTTTTGCTGAATTTTTTGCCGCAGTATCAATTTTTTTGTCAAATTTTTTACTGAAAAATTTTTTTTTGCCTCAATATTATTAGATTTTGTGTTGAATTTTTTTTTTGCAGAATGCTGATATTTTTTTGCTGATATTTTTAATGCCAAGTGATAGCAATCGTAAATAATTTGTCAATATTTTTATTATTAATTTTTTCCAAATTCAGCAATAATTTAGCAGCCGAATAACATAATTTCGACTAGTATAGGATAAGACACTATCATATCTTTGAATATAAGAAAGAGTATACTTAAACATAGACTAATTATTCAGCTATAATATAAAAAAAAAAAACTTAACTACTTATAGAAGTTTCCTATAATAAAATAGGTTTTAGCCTGGTGCAATATTAAAGATATAAGACAGACTTCAAATAAAGATAAGAATTCAAGTAGTATAATATCCTTCACATAAGATTGAGTTTCAATTAAGTAATAAAATAGGCCAAGATATAAGACAAGCTTCTAGAGGAGAAAAAAAAATTTTTTTTCTTTTTCAAATACTAATGAGGTCTTCCTGTATAAGAAACTTTCAATATTGGTGATACTAGGTATCTTAAGTGAGTTCTTAATATATTGGTTTTTTTAATAAGAGATAATAACAAATCATCTGATAGATCAAGCCCTAGGAAATATTGCTTCTAGAAATAGGTTTATAGCTGGGGTCATATCATTGAAAGTAAATATATAGACTCTCCAATTTCTATAGTTTAGTTAAAATTGAAAGATAGATAGTTCTACACTAGATAGTTATGTAATTATCTTATCTTGGTTGGGAGAGATATAAATAAATGCCATTTGTACTATTTATTGATCTGTAAATCTCTTAATAGTAAGAATGATTACTTATTCCAGTTATCTCTAGAATATATCATGACTTTAATAAAGTGTACAAACTGATATAAGAATGAATTAATATTTAAAAAAAAAAAAAATTAAAATCTTTTATATTAAAATATAATTATAAAGATTTTTACTAATAAATGGTAATAAACATTAAATTTTATCTTTAATACTATATATTTGTCTATTGATATCTATTCTCTTATAATTATTTATTTTTTATTTTTGAAAAAATTTTATCTATTTTAATTTAATCTTGAATTTTAAATAATATAACTTATTGCAAAATATGTTTAGTAAATATAAAACAAGTTAATAGTAAAATATAAATAAACTTTTATTAATTATCTTATATATTTTGATAATATTATTAAAAAAAAAAAAGAATTAAATAATTTTATTATCCTTTAATTGAATTTATTTAATTTCAAGATTATAATATTAATAAAATTTAAGCAATATATTCTTAAATTATTATTTTTCAGATAGAATTTATATATTTTTACTATTTGAATTAGTAAAACTATTAGGATTAACTTTTTTTTAGTTTGGTAATGATCAAAACAATAAGTTTTTGAATAGAATAGATTGAAAAATTCCAAATAACCATTGTAAGACCTAAAAATATAAATTGAAGAAATATAATCTAAAAGATAATAAAAAAAAATCTTTAAAACACAAGCTTTTTATCCTATTTTTTTAAAAAAAAATATTATAATAGAATTTATTTTATTGAAAAGAGATTTTAAAAATTGAATTTTTTTGAAAAAGATTGGATTTTTAATTTTTTTCTTTTTCTTGAATACACATTTGTATATTTTTATACTTCTTTTTTTCTTTTTATATTTCTTTTATCTTTTGTAGTTTTCTATTGATCAATAACTTGATAGAACATGTAACAATAATAAATTATTAATTGTAATAAAAAGAAACTAGAAGATTCTTTACCCCAAATCCTTTTTGAAGTAAAATATTGTTTTCAAAACCTGACTTAAAGGCTGTTTATACCTATAACAAGTTAATTAAATATGATATAAATGTTTAGCTATAGTATTTTTCATCTTGTACTAATAAATAAATACTTTTGTCTTCTTAAAATTAATAAAATATTATCTAACCTAACTATGGATATTACAAAATAATAATAATATATTTTTAAGTTTCTCAAATAAGCCTTTTTTTTTGTACCACTATGTTTATTGATTATTTTTACATCTTTAAAGGAAGTTTTATTTGCAATTATTATATCTATATTATTTAAAATACAAAAATGAAATTTTAAATCAAACACAAAATATTGAGACCGTGAAACATAAAATTCTAACTTGAATGATTCGTCAACAACACGATATTAATTCAGAATGATAGTAACGTAGGTTTTTAACGGGCTTCAAACTGGACCACTTATATTGCAATACAATTTTACAAAAGGTTAATATACTTAACGCATATTTAGCAGGGGATGTACAACATGGTATATTTAAAAGGGACTTACTCCTTTTAGTCCGTTGCTTGTACATAATACGGTGACCACATTCTTTACAACGTAAAGGTTCTTTTGGTTTAATCTCATTTTCTGTTCCACAATCTGTTCATTAATAAAATTATCACTTTTTAGTTATTCAAAGTATATACTTATTTGGAAAAAAAGAAAGAAATGCATTAAGATCTGACATTTATAGTAAAAAGTTCAAGAAATTTGAAAGAACACTTGCCTGCACAATTATATTGCATTTTCGGGGCATTATCACTTGCCCTTGGTGTGGCTGAACTCGAAGGTCCCGATTGTGGTGGGCCTTGGGAACTCTGATACGGTTCTTTGTTCATTTAAAGTTTTTTCTAACTAACGATGTTTGCTACTAAATAATTTAAGATTGTAAACGATGATTGGCCTGATCTACTTTTTGTGTGGCATTAAAAAAAAAAAAAAATTGGAAATCTAGATTAACGAGCCATCGTGTAGTTGATATCTGAAAGTGCGGAGTTTTCCTGTTAAAATGACATTTATTCACCGTGCAGCGTCTCGGTTTATAAACAGAAGGCCAACTTTTGGCAACTTCGTTACTAGAAATGTGTTGAGAACTACTGGAACTCGCGGTATATTGTACCTTAATTGTTTATTTCACAAAGAAAATTTATTAATATTTTTTCAACGGATTTACCTAATATAGGCCGTAGTTATGCGACCGAGTCGAAAAATTATGGATCCATTCAATCTGTTATCGGTGCTGTAGTTGATGTTCAATTTGACGAAAAGAATTTACCGCCCATTTTAAACTCCTTGGAGGTTGAAAAAGAGGGTAGTCGTCTCGTACTTGAGGTAGCGCAACATTTGGGACAGAATGTTGTACGAACCATAGCTATGGATGGGACAGAAGGTAAATTTTTACAAGTAAAAATTTCAGTGTTGATTATTCACCAACTTTTTTTCCTCAGGTCTGGTCCGTGGTCAAAAAGTATTAGACACAGGTGCACCAATTCAAATTCCCGTTGGTCCAGGATGTTTGGGTCGCATTATCAACGTCATTGGGGAACCAATTGATGAACGAGGTCCAATTAAAACCACGAAGTATGCTCAAATTCATGCCGAAGCACCCGAATTCGTTGACCAGTCTACTGTTCCAGAAGTTTTAGAAACTGGTATAAAAGTCGTCGATTTGCTTGCACCTTATGCCAGAGGAGGGAAAATCGGTCTTTTTGGTGGTGCCGGAGTGGGCAAAACTGTGCTGATCCAAGAACTTATTAACAACATTGCCAAAGCTCATGGTGGTTATTCCGTTTTTACCGGTGTTGGCGAGAGGACCCGCGAAGGAAATGATTTGTATCACGAGATGATTCAAACTGGTGTAATTAAACTCGACGGTGACTCAAAGGCAGCTCTTGTTTTCGGGCAAATGAATGAGCCTCCAGGCGCACGCGCACGAGTTGCACTTACTGGACTTACAATTGCTGAATACTTCCGTGATGAAGAAGGACAGGATGTGTTGCTCTTTATTGATAATATTTTCCGTTTCACCCAAGCTGGTTCAGAGGTATCTGCTTTATTGGGTCGTATTCCTTCCGCCGTAGGTTATCAACCAACGCTGAGGTATTTAATCCGGTTTACAGATAATCTCTTTTATTTGTTTATACATTTTATAACCATTAAATTTTGCACTGATGCAATTATTTAATAGTACCGGTAATGTCTTTTTATCCTTTTTTTTCCTTACTTCATGCATACATCACTAATTTAATATATTGAAATAGATATGGGTGGTATGCAGGAAAGAATTACAACCACCAAAAAGGGATCAATTACTTCCGTTCAAGCAGTATATGTGCCAGCTGATGATTTGACCGATCCTGCACCTGCCACTACATTCAGGTAATCGAACAGAGATATGTATTACGGACAAGTCAATTAGCGTTACAGTTAATATTATAGCTTATAATCAAATATGTAGTCATTTGGATGCAACTACAGTATTATCCCGCTCTATCGCCGAACTTGGTATTTATCCGGCTGTAGATCCGCTCGATTCTAAATCGCGATTATTAGATCCACGAGTTGTTGGTGAAGAACATTATGGAGTTGCCACGGATGTTCAAAAGATCCTCCAGGATTATAAATCCTTACAGGATATTATCGCTATTCTTGGTATGGATGAATTGTCCGAAGAGGATAAAGTTAAGTTAAATATTTATGTTTTCAATCTTCTCATGTTTTTTTTAATTCAATTCTAATGTGTACGAATACTATTTATAGCAAACTGTTGAGCGTGCAAGAAAGATTCAAAGATTCTTGGTATTTTATATGTTTCCATTTTTCCTAATATTAACTCACGCAACAGGATTCTAATGAATTTAAATATTTAGAGCCAACCATTCGCTGTCGCTCAAGTGTTCACTGGTTTCGAGGGGCGTCTTGTTAAACTAAAAGATACCATTCGCTCGTTCAAGGAGATTTTGGAAGGTAAAGCCGATGATTTACCGGAATCTGCTTTCTATATGGTTGGTGATATTGAAGATGCTAGAAAAAAAGCAGAAGGTATTACGTTAATTTATTATTGCAATATCATGTCATTCGAATGATTCTAAAAAAAAAATTATTTTTTATTTAAGAACTTGCGAAAGAAATGAGTGGTCAATAAGTAAACGATGCTAATAAACTTTTAATGGACATCGATTCATGATTGTGCAAGTAATTGTTTAAATTTTGTGAAAAAAAAAAAGACAATCTTAATATTAAAATGCCGTATATTAAATTATCTTATACTGAAAATTTATGACTACAATGGTGATTTCCTCCAGATGAATAATCAGTACTATTTTCTTGATGAATTAGACATTGCGATACAGGTTGATAAACTGCATAAGATGCGCAAACGATTTCAGATTGTAAATAAAAATGTTTTTACTAGAGTTTATCTCTTTAATTATAGTCGAGTTTGTAACTTACGAATTTGCGACAGAATTATGTTATACAGTATATAAAATTAATGCTGCAAACTCGAAAGCGCGGTATGACACATTGGAATTTCTAAATTTGTTCTATCATCTATTTAAAAATTTGTAACAGGATTTTTTTTCAGATTATATTATGCATTTAGTGTGAATTTTGTATTATACTGTATGTCTGATGCAGCTATTATTATCAATTATAAATATATTACCTGCAATATATACAGTATACAATATAATATAGTCACCTGCGGGGGTAAATCTATACAAATTCTGAAAATCCTTATAGAAAAAAAAAAAAATTAATAAATAATACTTATATTATCAATCAAATATAAAATAAGATTAAAAATATGTAGTTAGAAGAATTGAGTTTTAAGATACTAAACCTAGGAACAAATTGAATCAGATTTAAGTTATAAATCTTTTTTTTTTTTTTCTAATCAAGTTTATTATATATATTAAACTTTTATAAACTATAAATATAATAATATACTGTATATTATCAAAGCTAATTTTTTAATCAATTTATTTATTTTAATAATATTAATTTTAAATATGACTTTAAAAAGAATATATTATTTCATTAATAGTGTAAACAAAAACCTTTTCAATATCAATATTATTATTTGAAATTATTATTATATATTATTATCAAGTTCTGATAAAAATCAAAATTCAATTATTTTATATTATAATAGATTTTATTTATTAAATTTTTAATAAAATTTTTGTTTTAAGTTTTTTTTTTAATCTTTTATATAAACTAAATTAAAACTAATTATGTTTCTTAATTTATTTGTTTTATTATATTTAAAAATTTCTTAAACTCAAACTTATTTTTATTTTATTATTTTTTTTATATTTAATATATCAAAATTTTTTTCTAATACAATTAAAAGTTATCTTATATATTTTTAAATTTTATTTTTTTATTTCTAAATTAATTTCTTTATTATAATATTATAATTTTTTTATTTTTCTATAGATTTTTTCTTATTAAATTTATATAAAAATTTAATATATTTTATTTGATTTTAGAAATTTTATTGACTATCTTGAATATTTATTTATTTATTTTTTTAATTTATTATTATTATTTATTAACAATTATATTTTTTTTCCTTAGTTTTATTTTTTTTCTTGTAATTTTTTTATTTATTATTATTTGTATCTAAAGATGAATCCTTAAAGGAAGAGACAAGGATAAAAATCAAATATCCTTTACTAAGAAATATTAAAATTTTTAAATTAATAACTATAAAAAAATTATTCATAATTATTTTTTGTTATTCAGATTATTGATTTATAATATTTACTGACTTTTGTTTTTATTAAAGTAAAAAGTTATGAATTTTGTTATTCAAAAAAAATATAAATTATTTGCAAAAATTTTATATATTAAATACTTTAAGGATCCATCATTATTTGTATTTTATTTATTTATTTGTTTTTTTTTAACTCACAACCATATTACATGTATTGAAAAGGTATATAACTATCTATAATATTATAGATTTTTATATAATAATTGATTTGTTATTGTACTGAAGTATTCTAAGTTAGGTCTAGAGAACAATATTTCATTTTCCTAAAGAATTAGTAAATAATCTCTATCTACTAGATTCATTATCAATAGTTTGTCACTATATATTATTTATAAACCATATTATTAGTTAAAGAGAAAGAGAAAAAAGAAATTAGAGAAGAGAAACAATTCAAGATCTTATCAAAAAGTTCAAAAAGAAAATAATCTTTATTTCAAAAGGAATTTGTTTAATTGGAATAGTTTTCTTGTTTCTTTTAAGCCTTAAAAGAAATTTTTTTTATGCCATTTGTAATATTAGATAAATCAATTCAACTGGTTTTTCATTTAAGTAAGTACTGAATTGAAATATCTCAAAAAAAGTATTTAGATCTCAGCATTTATTTATTAAAGCTTTATTACTACCTAAGAAGTTTAAGTAAAAGATAGAAACTTGTAATTTATATTACTTATCTCTTGATTTTTTGATATTATAGATGTTTTCTTTAAGGGACTTGAGTTTTTGAAGAATGAACATTTCTGAAACATTCTTTTCAATTATCAATAATATCATCAAAACATGTGAATATAATCAATAGAAGCTTGTTTATATTCCAAAAACTAATGTGTTTCATGTTAGCCAATTATTTTTGATAAGGATTTGTGTTACTTAAAGTTCAGAATAAAATTGAGGTAGGCAAAATTCCTTAGAAAACCATGAAAATAGAAACTCTAAGAGAACCTAAACAATCAGAAAAAAAGGAAATAAGCCTTTCTATTGCAACAAAACCTTTGTAATATCTCACTTAAAAAGTTGAAAAGAACTTCAAGTACTTTACAAGTAGTTTTTTTTTTTTTGGAAACTTTCTTGATATCAAGAGTGTTACTTAACTTTTATTAATCATAAAAAGTCAAGTTTTTGGAGTGAAGAGATTTGCAAACAAGAGAGAAAATGTAAAAATAACTCTTGAAGTTATACTTTAAATTGTTTTAATAAATATATTATAAATTTAGTAACAAAAAAGCAAAAAAATTTCTTACAATATTTATATGTAATCAAAGAATTAGTAAAAAGAATTTTTTTACTTATATATTATTTTTATTAACAAGATATTTTATAAAATATTTAATAATTTTTTTTTTACTTTCCATAAATTATATATTTTATCTATTTATAAAAATTTAATTTTTTTATTAATAATTTCAATAAGATAAATAGTTTATTATCAATCAACTTTATTAAAAACTTTTTCTTTATAAACTTTGGATAAAAATATTTTAAATATATTTTTTTTTAATTTTTATATATATAAGATATTATAAATATTTTTAATAATTTATAATTTATTAATATTATTTCTTATATATTTTGAGTATCTGTAGCTAGATTAGATTGTCAGTTTATTAATCAATTGAAAACATTAGTATATTTTTATTCAAGCAGTATAATATACTGTATACTATAGCTAAACTATTATTCTAATCTAACTAACTTATTATAAGTATAAAAGTCTCTAAGTTCAGCCTTGAAAACAATATTTTACTTCACAATGTCTTTAAATAAAAATCCTTTTAGTTCACTGCATCATTGTTAATAAATTGTCACTACTATATATTTAATTAAGTCACTAAAATACAAGAAACTACAAAAGAATAAATTGAAAAATGGAAGAGAGAATATTTAAAAATGTCTAAGTAGACAACAAGAAAATAAAAAAGTAAAAATTGAAAAAATTTTCCAACTTTCTTCAAAGACCCACTTCTCAAGACCTCTTCTCAATAAAAAATATATAATTGAGATATTCTTTCTTTTTCTAATTATATAAGAGACTTATCTATTCTTGATTATAATTTTATTTTTATATATTATTTAAAAAAATTATCACCTAGTAAGAGCTTTTACTTCCAGAATACATTTAATTCCAACCTTTTTTGAGTAGTGATTTTTTATTTATTTGTGATAGAGAGGTGATTTATAATAGATTACAGGTTCTTATAAGATCCAGTAAGAGCTGGACTATGTTGTTTTAATATAATACTTTTTAATAGTTATACTTAGTTAAAGAAATTTTACAAGTAAATATCTTTCATTATCCAAAAGATCAAATTTTTTAATAATTCTTTTGTCTTATAATAGTAGAAG